TCTGTGTGTAATGTTTGGTGTTTGATGTTCTAGTCTGTGGAGAAACTTCTGCTTGCCCTCTGAACTCCATGACCTTTCTGTGTGTGTGTGTGTGAGTGTGTGATGACAGCCTGTGGCGTTTCTGTTCAGAAGGTTTCCACCCAGGTGAAGTACGAGAGGTCACACCACACTCAACACACTGAGACACTCACTAAAATACAGACATTCAGAGGCTGAGGTCAAAGGTCACGTACTGAGGGTGAGTGATGAGAGCAGCTGTGGCCTCCAGGATGCAACACTCACACGCTCAAATGCAAACAAACACTTGAATGATTAACTCAACACTTTATAATAAAGTTCTATAAGTTAACACCGGTTAATGCATACATTATACTTTTACAGCTTTTATTAAATTCTACAAACACTACCACTCAAAAGTTTAGTGTCAGTAAATGACAGTAAAAAAAATTATAATGCTACAAAAAAAAAAAAAAAAACTTCAAATCCTGAAAAAATGTATCATGCTTTACACAAAAATATTAAGCAGCACATCAATTGTTAACACTGATTAGAATGACTTCTAAAAGATCATGTGACACTAAAGACCGGAGTAATGGCTATTGAAAATTCAGCTTTGCGTCACGGGAGTAAATTACATTTTAAAAGAGAAAAGAGCTCTTGTAAATTGTAATAATATTTCAAAAATAAACAGCAATAATAAATGCTGTAAAAAATGCAGATATATATTATGATATCTAATGCATTCATTAATGTTGATGAATTGAACCACGGAAGTGTTACATGGGTTACACTTTATTTTGTGTACTTGTTACAGTGTAATTATATATTTAAGTACTGAGTAATATTAATTACCTACATGTACTTACTATATGGTTAGGGTTAGGATTAGGGTTACTTGCATGTAATTATGCATAATATGCATTGGTATTGTAATAGTAAATACATGTAACACATGTACCAAGGAAACCTTAAAATAAAGTGTTACCCTAATATGTTTAAGAGACATTTTCAAGTAACACAAGGAAATACAGCGGAGAACAGATTAACTGAAGTCTTTTACAGTTCATAAATCTTTTCAGATTTAAATAAAATTATTAATAACTTAAGTGTTTAATAAGAGCCATTCATCTAAGTGCATGCTCTCCTGCTCTTTTCGTCTATGAAAAGCTGGTTTTGGATGACCTACATGCTTTAGTAAATTATGCCCTAAATCTGCCCCATCCACTTAAACCTGACAGACATCTTGTGTATCTAGAGGAGGGTGAGTTCATTTTTCCACTATCTGACATAAAGTATGAACGGTGGCTGCTCTCTCTCCTGTGGTTTAACTGAGAGTCCAGCACTACACATTTCCTCTCACACCTCTCTTATTGCTCCATTTTTCACTCTATGACTTTTTGTAATTGAGTGATAATGCAAGAAAACCAAAAACAGAATAAGCAAAAACACAGAGGGGAACATAACAGAGAGAGAGACTGAAAGAGAGGGGGGTGGAGACAGATGGGCATTTTCAGAGATCATTTATCAAACTCAGACCGTTCACTCCCCTCCCCTCTCTTCTCCTAAACCCCCATGTAATTCAGTAATCATTTTCATTATCATATAATGACCTTACAAAGCCTACAGCAGTTAGCACGGTCACTACAAACCACACAGCTGTTCCCGGCACTGCCCCAAACACGCAATCTGCCCACCGCAGGAATGGACTGTGACCCCTGCAGAGGTCAAAGGAGGGATGTAGATGTGACAGGAGATGTGAGCAAGGTCGGTTCTATCTGAGTGCGTGTTCATATTTTTACGTAAACTCGAATTGCAGCATGTCTGCGCAGGCATAAAGGGTGCGAGATCAATGGTTTTGACCCACAACACTGTTAAAATGAATCATGGTTAATATATTAACACTCCTGGTTTCTGTTGTCATTAATTACAGCAGAAATATCAAAATAAAATGTTGGAGAATGGGAACTTTAATTTATTACATTTTAAATAATAAATAGAAATGCAGTGCACACTGGGAAAAAAATTATAGCAGCTTAAGATAAAAACATTTTTGTTTATTACTTATTGCTTCACTGTTTAATTAAGTAATCATTTTCATTATCATATAATGACCTTACAAAGCCTACAGCAGTTAGCACGGTCACTACAAACCACACAGCTGTTCCCGGCACTGCCCCAAACACGCAATCTGCCCACCGCAGGAATGGACTGTGACCCCTGCAGAGGTCAAAGGAGGGATGTAGATGTGACAGGAGATGTGAGCAAGGTCGGTTCTATCTGAGCGCGTGGTCACATTTTTACGTAAACTCGAATTGCAGCATGTCTGCGCAGGCATAAAGGGTGCGAGATCAATGGTTTTGACCCACAACACTGCGGCTTGCATATGGATGAAACAAAACCACAAGGTCGACCCCTTTCGTCTGCCAATGCAAATGAATCTCTAAGAGGTCTTCCTTCTGTAAGTGTTTGATTTTGACCTATGGAAGATACAACACATTTTTAATAGCAAATCATTCCAGAATATTCCAAAAGCACAGATGGATATGCATATATGGTCCCCTTTACATGCATTGCACTTACACCTTCATTGTAAAAGTGCTCAACCAGAAAGCCTCAGCTAACTTCCAAGGGGGCCTCTGAACCACTTTAGACTATTTAAATAAATGGGTAACTTCAGATAGCTGAAAGCAGGTCCAGAGGCCCCACAGTCTGCAGCACTCCAACTACTGTTTAACAAAGCAAATGTCTGTAAGACAATAAAAGCCTTAATCAATCAGCTCGCTGTGCTTATGTTTATGAGCCTGCAGCGCTAACCATCCATCACCCGGTTTTTACCACTCAAAACACAGACACAGAGACAAAAGAAAGGCATAATGTGAGGAGCGGGCCTGCTGCATACTAAATTAATAAAACAATCACAACCTTTCATGGCAAAATAAGCGACATGATTTAGCACGCTGCTCCAAGAAGTTTCCTTTCAAGAAGAGTGGTCAGAAATGGATGTTTGTGTTCGGCTCTGTGAGTCATGATAGTTGTTATAACAGTCTGTCATAATAATAGTACTAAAACATCACTGCATTCAGGTGAGCTTTATCAGCTCGTGTCGGAGGTGATATTATCAGCTATGAGTTCATTTTTGTCTTAACAGAGTGTCTTAACCTTAGCTATCTGCCTCCCCTCCCTAAATGCGATTTGTTGACAGCTACTTTACAGACCTGTGCCTGATGTTTCGAAGAGTGACGTTATCTCGCTCCAGAAGGGAGGCAGGAAGTGATAGTGGAAAGGGATGAGTTCAAACACATTGCAGTGTGTGCACACAGAGGAGTGAAGGTAGCTTTATCTAATCACACTGCTCCGTCTGATGAAATAAACTTCCGTGGCTATGATCGAGTGTGCAAATGTGTTGTACAGGTTAGTGTGTGTAACCGCTCAGTTTGTTCAGTAGTGAGAAGAAACTAAGACTACAAAGGTACAAATTGTTCTAATGGTGAAATATTTCTCCACTTTTGATTTTTTTTTTTTTTTATATAATAGAAAGAAAAAACTGTACACTACTGTTCAAAGGTTTGGGATTGGTAAGATTTAAAAAAAAAAAATTGTAATGTAATTCATTCCTGTGATGACAAAGCTGAATTTTCAGCAGCCTTTACTCCAGTCTTCAGTGTCACATGATCAGAAATCATTCTAACTTGCTGATCTGGTGCTCAAGAAACACTCCTTCATATATGATTTCTTAAATAAATAAACAAATAAAAATCTTACTGACCCCAAACTTTTGAACGACACCATATATAAAAGATAAAGAAAGTATTATTATTGGTAACTCTGTAACACAATGGAAAATGGTCCAAAAACTTTTTTTCCTTTAAAACATTTTTTTTCCTATATATATATATATATAATTTTTTTAATGCATGAAACACTTGGAACTCCTACAAACTAAAATTGAGTGAACCTATTTTTTTAAAACCTTAAAAACAATGATTCTGAATATTTTCACTGTTGTCAATTGGATTAGCTAACCTGTGCCATAAAACATTTCCATTTAAATTTTTGACTGAAAATAAAAAATCATACTGTATCATATAATTGTGTTATATATGCATATAGTAAATGCATTTGTATCATAGTAAATACAATATTGGCCACTATGATCAGTGTGAGGGGGGAAAAACACAGCAATTAAATTTCCAATTTTTCCATTTTGATACAGCGCTATCATATGACAACATTCACATTTTTGCAAATTTCTATAAAACAATGTTGGATAAAGTGGATAAGTTAACAACTGCACCTAATTAACTAAAAAAAAAAACATTATGTAGAAGAAACATACCAAATTACTATACCGTACTACACAGGGCTAAAAGTGTGTGTGCTTGTGTCCTTGACGCCATCTGACAAATGAATCTTGGTCTGGGGTCCATGGTTTTCATCATCTGATTTAAGAACGCAATTTTAGCAAAACATCAGCACTGTTTACAGGTACCAGCAGCCCTGGGCGTCACTCTGGGGTCAAAGTGAGGGGACGACCCCCTTAAAGGGGCCACTTTACAGAAACAAGAAGACAGGGAGGAGTCCTTATTTTTCTTAAAGTTAAGATGCAAGAATTTCAAGAGGGAAATTTAGTTCTTTCAGGCCATACTGACTAATGGTCTGATCTGAATGAAGACAGATTACCACACACACGCACACACAGTAGTCTGATGGGAAGTAATAAAGCAAGAGAAAGGAGGAGTTTGTGCTAGTGTGTTGGTATGCGTATCTGTGTGTGTACGGCTGGTTCGCTGTGTAATCGGAACAAATGGGATATGTCTCTCAGTCGCCCTTATCTCAGAGGAAGCAAGTCAATGGGCTATCAGCACACGTGTATGCGTGTGTTTGTGTGAACTCTCTCGGCCTGAAGCGTTGTCCTCCTGCTAATATAAAAAAACCTTGCTTCTATACAATTCACTGAAGATGTGACATTAAACACAAGAGTTTAGCACACAGGCACATACCTGTCCCTCCATGTCTGTCTGTGCTGCTGTCTGTCCGTCAGGGCATTCAGTAAAATGTCTGCCATCTCTCTCCTGTTCTCCTGTGCCGTGTTCTCGTCCTCCACCACAGCCAACAGCAGCTGAGTCTGCAAACAAACAACACAGTCGCTTTATAACTTCAAACTAGAAATCACACAAAATCAGTTTCGGTCAGTCAGTCAGTTATGCTCAACAACGTTATACTCAGGGTGCGAACTACGGGGGAGCTAGGGGGAGCTCGGCTCCCCTTAATAAGACATGGGCTCCCCTGAAAACGGGATTTGTGAAATTTTGGGGGGTCTCAAAAAATATTGACAATGTGTTATTTTGACGTGCAATTTCAGTTTTGTGTAATGTGATCATCGTGGATTATTATGTGTAAAATTGCAAAAATATCATTCATTCATGCATGACGGCGATTTAAACCTAATTCACTTCAATAAAGATAACTATACATGCTATTCTTGTCATGAGCATCAAGGTGTGGGGCCGCTGTGGTGCAAATTCCACTCATGTTTAGTACATATGTTAACTCAAAGATTCGTAGAAAAAAATATTAACGCTGGACTCTGTGGTCGATTCTGTGTTAAGGTAAGGCATGTTATTCGCAATTATGTGTTGGGGCTGGGTTGTTATAGGTCTGCGTGACTCTCGATGTTTTAGGCCTAATTGAACGGAGGAATTATGGTGTTCTTCTGTAGCCTGACGACGAGTAACTTTAACTGTTGTTCATGTGAACTCAAAGACAGCTTGATGCTTTGTTTATAGACTATTTGTGGGTGGCTGTTTGTTGTTTTTATTATCAATTCGTGTCGATAAAGTATAATAGGGTAAATCCTGTATAGTGATTTATCCTATATAGTGCTTGCATAAAGCAAGTAGTGCATACACTTGTAGCTGTTATGTATCTTTGTAAGTCATTGTAAGCCCTCTTTTGAGGCATACGCAAGCGCACGAACATAGTATAGTTCGAACACTGGTTATACTATACACTATACAAAAGTTTGGGATCAGTAGTCAGTATTTTTTGTTTGTTTGTTTGTTTTGAAAGAAATTTAAACTTTTATTCTAAAAGGATGCATTAAATTAATCAAAAGTGACAGTAAAGACCTTCATAATGGTACAAAAGATTTCTATTTCACATAAAGGCTGTTCTTTCGAACTTTCTATTCATCAAACAATCCTAAAAACAAGTATCATGGTTTCCACAAGAATAAGCAGTGCAACCGTTTTCAACATTGATATTAATGAGAAATGTTTCTTAAGCACCGCATCAGCATATTAGAATGATTTCTTCTGAAGGATCATGTGACTGTAGTAATGGCTGCCGAAAATTCAGCTTTGCCATCACGGGAATAAATAAAATTTTACAATATATCAAAATAGAAAAGTAAATTTTAAGTGAAATAATATTTCACAATATTGCTGTTTTTACTGTATTTTTAATAATGTAGAAAATGCAGCATTTTAAATGGTTGTGTACTTTATATACAGAAACCACAACTACTGTAATTGATAACGTTACGATGGGCAAGAGCATTACAATTTGCAAACAATTTTAAAGATATTCGAATTATACTGAATGAAGACATGTTGATAAAACATGTTTAGCCCTGGAGTGTCTCATAACCAGGATGTGAAATTTGAATATGAAGAATTGTAAATGAGATTAAGAGTCATGGCATAAGGTAAGGCAATGCCCACACAATATCATACAGTAAGGCTTCATTTTTTTAATGCAATTATTTTTCCCATAACGTTCTGCATCTCAAACAATCATAAATTAGTATTGTACACAAGCATATTCATGAGTGATTATTAAGTAATACATTTATGACTGGCACAAATATGGCAGCATAAAACCACATTAGGGTTGCACAGCAACTCTGGCTCTTAATGGATCCCTGAGTAACCTCAATAAAGAAACAACTGCTCTTATCTTGAAATAAAGAAAATAAAGGAATCAAACTGTACTACCAATCCAGTGGACAAGCTCTTAGCCAGCGCTTAAACAAATCAATATACATTCATTCCCTTCATGTCAGAGGTCAAATCTATTCTTTACTTATGCTGCTGACTCAATCTTACAAACACTAATGATTAAGCCAGAATCATAAACAGCAGGACAAAATTATATTTGCTTTGTAATGTTTCTGCGTGCATCATTTTTTAAATACAATAATAATATACATAAACATTTTAAAATATACACCACCATTTAAAAGTTTGTGACAGGTACGATTTTTTGAAAATGTTTTTGAAGTCTCATGAAAACTGCATTTATTTGATCAAAAATACAGTAAAACACTAATATTGTGAAATATTATTACAATTTAAAATGACTATTCCTATTTTAATTTATATCAAAATGTATTTATTTCTGAGATGACAAAGCTGGATTTTCAGCAGACATCACTCCAGGCTTCAGTGTCACATGAGTCGTCAGAAATCATTGTAATATGCTCAAGAAACATTTCTTATTATTATCAATGATGAAAACTGTTGTGCTGCTTAATATTTTTGTGGTAACCGTAATGTATACTCTCAGTGTTTTTATGCATGGAAAGTGTAAAAGAACAGCATTTATTTGATCTTTTTAACACTGTAAATGTTTGTACTGTCACTTTCAATTAATTTAACTCATCATTGCTGAAAAGTATCAATTTTATTAAAAAAAAAATCAAATCTTACTAGCACTAAACTTTTGATTGGTAGAACATTTTAATATAACAATAAAAAAATAAACATATATTAAAATATATTTTAAAAAGTTATCTGTGTTTTCATTTCTTTTAAAAAAGATGCAAAATGCCAAACTTTCCCTCTCTCTCACGGTCTTCCTCTACAGTAGCAGGAGCTAAAATGATTGACAGGTGAGGAAGCATATGCAAAAAGTGCTCTGAGCGTTGGTTCACCTCAGCTGTTTCACAGCAATCTCTTTTTCTTTATTTCTTTTCATCCCCCGTTCATCCATGAGACAGCACTTCTCTCTCACTGAAGCATTACCTGTCAGCGATCGTTACCTGTTAGACTCATCCTGTCTCAGAAAGCGCGGGTGAAAGAGTCTGCCAAGACTAACTCTGACTACGGGGTCACGAGGTCAGTTGAATCACATCAGACTAAACATAGATGACACAACAACAGTGACTCACGATCGTGTGTGTGTGTGTGAGAGAGAGAGAGAGAGAGAGAGAGAGAGAGAGAGAGAGAGAGAGAGAGAGAGAGAGAGAGAGAGAGAGAGAGAGAGAGAGAGAGAGAGAGAGAGAGAGAGAGAGAGAGAGAGAGATAGATAGAGAGAGAGAGAGAGAAAAACTGTGTTTTGTTTTTACAAGGTGGGTTGATGAGAGAAATTTTCACAACCAACTTACGTTTACCACCCTATATATGTGCACCTTATCTGTGCGTGTGCTTGTTTACCCCTGAATGATGGTAGCTGTCATCAGATGGGTGATGTTGTGCAGTGCTCCTGGGTTCAGGACCACAGTGAAGAGGGTGAGACAGAGGGCAAGTGACTAACAGAGGCAACTGTGTGTATTTATATAAGGAAACACACTTCAGGTTACCCTCCATAATCGCTTCAGCTTTCAAAGTAAATATCATGACAGTTAATAATGTCGTTAGTGATGGTAGCTGTCATCAGATGGGTGATGTTGTGCAGTGCTCCTGGGTTCAGGACCACAGTGAAGAGGGTGAGACAGAGGGCAAGTGACTAACAGAGGCGACTGTGTGTATTTGTATAAGGAAACACACTTCAGGTTACCCCACGCTAACAGAGGGGAAGAATAAACACACATGCACACTCACCAGGACTATGTGACAGGTACATCAGCCAACCAATGGCAGAAAGGCAATCTAAAATACCAACAGAAACCTGAACAGCTAGCGCCAAACTAAGATAATGTATGACACGAGGATTTAAAACGCTTAACTGCCTCAGAGGCAACTGTGTGTATTTATATAAGGAAACACACTTCAGGTTACCCTACGCTAACAGAGGGGAAGAATAAACACACATGCACACTCACCAGGACTATGTGACAGGTACATCAGCCAACCAATGGCAGAAAGGCCATCTAAAATACCAACAGAAACCTGAACAGCTAGCGCCAAACTAAGATAATGTATGACATGAGGATTTAAAACGCATAACTGCCAGTGGGCATTCTCTAGAAAACCTACGTTTGACAAACACACACACACACACACTAAATTTACACAGCTGGACTGTATTTGATCAATTCATTAAACATATAGGCAGCATGACAACAGTAACAGTATGTGTTTCACAGTATGTTTTTTGTTTGATGGACTTATGAGTTGGAAATTAGTGTGCTCAAGGCAGTTTTATGTTAATAGGATAAAAAAAAGGAGTAAAATGCAATTTCAGCATGTATCATTTAATAACTTAAATGCCAAGTGAATTCAATTTCTCAATAAGTTCTCAATAAAATTAACATTTTATGTCATTCATTCGTTATGATTTTCTTTCTTCTATGGAACATAAAATAATATATTTTGAGAAATGTCTCTGTGTTTTTTTGTGCATACAATGGAAGTTAATGGTCATCAAAACAGTTTGGTTACCAACATTTTTTAAATATCTTCTTTGATGTTCCACAGAATAAAGTAAGTCATACAGGTTTGGAATGATATGAGGATGAGTAAACAATGACAGAATTTGTGATTTTTTTTGGGGGGGGGGTGAACTATCACTTTAAGGAATGTATGAAATCCATATAATTGGATCATTTACTTGGAACATATCATTTACTTGGAACTAACTTTACCGAAATAAGGGTTGCACTCTTAAAAATAGCATGGCATGGATGGTTCCACGAAGACCCTTGAACATTCATGGAACCTTTCAAATGCAGAAAAGGTTCATTAGTGGAAACATTTTTCTTTAGATTTTGAAAATGTTTTTCAAAATGGTTCTTTTAGGAACTGTTCACTGATACCCCTTTTCCACCAGCATGAACCAGGTGCTAGTTCAGAGCCAGTGCTATTGCCGGTTCGGAGTTGGTTCAACTGGAGAGCCTTCTAAGAACCGGTTTGCCTTTCCATGGGCTAGAGAGCCACCACAGAGCCAGGTCTTACGTCACTGAATAAGTCTTATCTTTCCCAGTAATGCTAGCACGGCAGTGCCAAACACAACAGGCCTGTTCAAGATGCATCGGCAGCATGCAAACCGATCGGCGCATGACACCAAAGCACCGCGAAAGCGATCCAAAAGCATAAAGTGAGTCGTCTACTTTCCAATCACTCCTGCGGCACACCGACCGGTCCTCGCAGCGCCGATGCAGCCCGAACAAGCCTAAACACACCATCAACAATGGCGGACATTGCATTGCTATCGATGTTCATGGCTATGCGAACCTACATCGTCATCCAAACACGGCGAATTCACCGTGTTCGTGTTTAGCTGCCATTTCAAAAATGGCAGTCAAAAGTTTCTGTTCATCTTGTTGGTCACGGTATCCCCGCCCCCAGCCCCTGATGCAAGCGGTTCTTACTTCTAGACCAGCAATGTTTTGGTGCTACTTACGAACCACTTTTCCTGGTTCGGAGCTGGTGCTTTGGGTGTCAAAAGACAAAGAACCGATTTGAAACTAGGCTCTGGCTCCGAACCAGCACTCAAACTGCCTTGGTGGAAAAGAGGTATGAAAGGTTCTTTGGGGAACCAAAAATGGTTCTTCTGTGGCATCACTGCAAAAACCTTTATTTTTAAAAGTGTGGGTAATTACTCCGAACCTAATTTCTTTCTAGTATGTGAAAAGCAGTATGTCAAATGAGTCTAAATAAGAAGTATTCATAAAAGAGTAAGGTTCCACGATTCCAAAATACATATCTGATTGATTTTTAATATCCAATGAGGCCACAGGAGACACGTATTCAGTGAGGAACAGTAACACCGCTGACATAGTAGGTCACATGACAATAGCAGCATGTCGCATACAAAATGTCAGGATTATATTCATACTACACACATTAACTTTTGGGTTAATATAAAACACGTTTTCCACAGTCGAGAATCAAATTCTTCATCAAAAACCGTACATATACTCCACTAATGTCTGACAACCAAATAATTTGCTTGACTACATTACATTTTAATCAGTGTACCTATTGTTTTATCTTTCAAAACATGGCAAATCTCTTTTTTTTGTAAACATTTTGCTTGAAAAGTGTTATTTTTCTTTTAAAGGGGTCATATGATGCTAATTTAAAGATCATTATTTTGTGTGTTTGGTGTAACAGAATATGTTGACATGCTTTAATGTTCAAAAAACATTATTTTTCAAGTGGTTGACTCTTAACTTTTATAAAGAATATCTCTTTGGATTTGAGACTTTAGTCTTTGCAACTTTACAGATCTTCTTTATGCACCAAGAGCTTGTAACACTCCAAAGAGAAAGGAAAACTTGAAATCGCATCATATGACCCCTTTAAATAAATATCATCAATACATTTTAAAGTGCAAATCAGGTGTTCAAATATTTTTTTGGGCCTTCTGTGCCCATGCACAGACACATATCTCACTGTAGTTGGTGGGACATGTTTTAGGGGGTAGTTATGTCCAGCACAGATGGTCCTCACCACAGTTGATGGGCTGAAGCACTGTAAGGGTACAGCAGACTGAATCACACATACCATGTTAAACACGTAGAGCGCAGACAATATATATACACATGCATGTCTCTGTCTGTGTGTGTGTGTGTGTGTGTGTGTGTGTGTGTGATTGAGAGCTTGGCCTTTCAGCCAGATTGACCCTCTGATCTCTCTGAGGCTCATCAATTACCTCTCCCCTCAGAGCCAGCACGCTGAGAGAATGGATTATATGAAGTGTAAAACATTAGAAAAATGTGTTCACAACATCACAGCAATGTGTCCGAGGACAGAGGAGGGGACAGATAATAGAAACCCAGCTGCTGAAGAGCACAACGCAACAAGTGACAGCATTTGAAGGCATTGTAGGGCAGCTCTGTGGGCCGCGGGCTTTTGTGCTGGGGATTGTGGTTCCTCTAGCCAGAGGCAACTGGACATATGCTTTTTGCTTGAGCTAATGAGGCAAAGGCTAAACGCTTTGTTATTTTCTTTCTTTATCTGCCATGGTTTGTCTCTCTCTGCCTCTTTTAGGTGGGAACGTTTTAAAAAAGGCAACTGCAAACCAAAAGCCCTTGATAACATCTCAAATCACCAAATCTGCTGCCTAATATGTCTATAGATTAAGAGTTCAATGATTCTACCACTCTTTCTGTATACGTAATATAAGCTCCAAAAATCTCATCTGCAGAGCCGTTTCACCCAAAAGATTTCAACTACATCCATGAATACAAACTGTACGAGTAAAAAAAGGCTCTACTAATAATTCAAGTAAATGTACTTAGTAATACCATGTTTTAAAGCAAAGTATTATGGAATTCTTTGCCTTACACACTCACATTACTATATCATAGCACCAACATTACTAAATTATTAATAATAATTATCAATTTATCTATTATATCAATTATCCATTAATTATATTTAATTATCCACCACTATTGTGTGTAATTATAATTTATTATTTTTATTATATATAATTATATGCAATTATTATATGTAATTATATGGAAATATACACATAAACACTACTAAACGTCCGGGGTGAGTAAATTTTTTTTTAATTATTATTATTTTATTATTATTTTGTTTTATTTATTTATTTATAAATTAATACTTTTTTATTCAAGAATGCATTAAATTAGATTAAAAAGTGACAGTAAAGAAAAAATTCCTATTGATCTTTTTATTCAAAGAAACCCCCCCCCCCCAAAAAAAGAAGATTGAGGTTTTCACAAATAGTATGCAGCACAACTGTTTTCAACATTGCTAATAATAAGAAATGCTTCTTAGAATGATTTCTAATGGATCATGTGACAGAAGACTGGAGTAATGGCTGCTGAAAAGCTTGAGCAAGGCACCGAACCCCCAACTGCTCCCCGGGCGCCGCAGCATAAATGGCTGCCCACTGATCCGGGTGCGTGTTCACGGTGTGTGTGTGTTCACTGCTGTGTGTGTGCACTTAGGATGGGTTAAATGCAGAGCACTAATTCTGAGTATGGGTAACCATACTTGGCCACATGTCACGTCACTCACAAAAAATTCAGCTTCTCTATAACGTTCCACAACATATTTTCAAATGTATTAAAGTAGAAAACAGTTATTTTAAATGGTAATACTATTTCACAATATTACTGCTTTTACTGTATTTTTGATCAAATAAATACAGCCTTGATGAGCTTAAGAGACTTTTACAAATCTTACTCCAAACATATAAATGGTGGTATGTATGTTTTATGGTTGGTTATGACAACTAATCCAATATCAGTGTCTTTAAAATCACGTTTGCTGTTCTCAGTACTCTGTCTCTTGAATGTATCACTTACTTTGTGACTTCATACCCACTTCCACTCTCTCTCATACACAAACATATGTATACACATATGCCTCATCTCTCTCCACCTCCATCTCCTTCTGGATCTGCCTGCTGATCAGAGATTAGAGATTAGCGTCTTGTACCCACATTTCTCCTGCCAGTGAAAGCTTTTGGCAGTGGGAGCGAGGCCAAAACCTCACTCTCTCCTCACTCCACACAGATTCATTTTCAGCACTTAAAGAATGTGAACTCTAGGCAGAGATTACCATCACATAGACCTGAAGCCATTTTCATTATGTGTCTTTTTTCTACGGTGGCTGAAAAGTGACATTTGGGAAAAAGATTAACGTAGGCTTGCCACTAAAAGAACGAAACCCAACCCAAGTTGTACCGACTACAATTTATGATGTTATAGGAGATGCCGTGTTGTGTAATTTATATGTCATCTAAATGCTGAAAATATCAGTAGTGAAGTGAATGAAGCAATATGCATCAGTGGTTTTGGGAAGCCTGAGGGCTGTTGTATAGCAGGACACATTTTTCCAGTGCATTAACTATATATGAGTAAGTGTAACAAATAAAAGAATTTTCTTTCCAAAAATCTGAGTTTAATACCTCCAGTGAGAATGCCTTAAGAAATATGTGCAGGAAGCATTCACTATGACATGTAAGTATAATATTAGTGGGTAGACAGATACAAACAGACACTCACATTAAGTACACCATAGGAAACAGCAGAGGATAATATGCATAGCCTTTACAAGCAAAACCTACTCATAAAAGCACAAAATCTGCTGAGAAGGCATAAAACCTGTTCAAAACGCATAATAAACCGGCTCATAGCGGGAATGTAAATTAATAAGCTATATCTGTAACACGTTCTATAAAGCCAGATTGACAGATATTGCTTTTTCATGACCAATACAGATAAGCAATTATAATAATAAGCATTATTAATATTCTAAATATTGAAATATTAAATATTTAAAATGATAATACCAAGTATGTGTGCAGTTCAGAGGGTTACAGTTTGACACCTCTTTGTTTTGGTATGTTTAATAGAAAGTGTAAAATAGATAAATAAATGGTCAAAGCGATTATCGTCTATCTCTTTACAAAAAGTGTTCTTAAATCCATTATGATGCATTCAAAATCTTATAGTTTTATAAAGTTAGATGTTCCCCTAAATCATTTTTGATAGCTACATATTCACAAATTACTTCCCTTTTTAATCTGTTCATTGTTGTACATTTAAAGAGTACAATGCATTGAAGTGCATGACGAACACCATGCGTTACAATGAATGAAACTCTCATTAAAAGAACATTTTAGTCTCATATATTTAAATATGCAGTTACATTTTTGACATTAACAGTCATACCTCATGGCCATGAGTAGATGGAATAATTTTCTAAATGAAACTTAAATCTCAAATATTTTACAGGTAAAGCCCACTATAATCTTATTAGTTCCAAAAATCCAACTGCTTCCAACTCAAGGATCAGTGGACCTGAAGCATTCATGCGATTTATCGCTCAGGACCAATCTGCTACAATTTCAAGAGTCTTCGTCAGAAGCAAGTGATCTGAATTTCTTGTGGTCAAGCCTGCTCTGTTTTAACGTAAGATGCTGAATTTGCGTTCTAATCCCAAAATCATCCGCCACTTTTCACAGCACCATACGAAACAGACAGAGAGGGAGAGAGAGACAGAGAACGGAAGCGAGTTGAAAGCGAGGGGATCATAACAGATTTCTACAGGAACATTTCCCCTTGGAGAGGGAGAGAGTGTTTACTATCAAACACATCTGTGCCTATTCATCTCAGCCAGAGTGTCATCCCTCGCTCTCAACTTCTGTCCAAACACAAACAAACAAACACAAAGACTGCGACTTCTGAGTATGCATCAGCCACCAGACTGCACTCCTGCGTAACACGTCTTCACACACAGACACGCTCTGAGCTCTCTTTCTCCCAGGCTCCTTTTATATCATCTTCTTTCTTTCCCTCCTCTCCTAAAACCTCTCGAATTATCTGCAATATCTTCTTTATAATTCCTCTCTTTCTTCGCGATTTTTCAAGCGAATCCGACAATTTTACAGTGGCTTGGCATCAGGATCTCCCATTCTTCCCCTCATTGTTCTGAACCGTGGCTTAACTCGGTTAAGAGCCCCAACATGATAGCCAACCTGGTGACTCTGAGGAATTAAAAGAAGGGATAGAGAAGAAAGACAGACACATTAGACACTCAAAGACGTATATCTACTAAATAGGGTCGGCATGTACCTGACTGGCAGAGACGTTTTGTGTACGTCTCTGTGGAATTTAATGAAGCATACTGTATATGTGTGGTGTTTGTGTGTATATCCCCAGTAGTGATTAATCAGTCATGGTCTGTATGTAATTCCAGATCTTATTCCTCTTTCTTCAGCCGCTTATCTCGCTGATCAAGGAGCGAGCCGGAAAAACTGCAGAGTAAATAAATAAATAAACAAAGCGCTAAATAAACCCAGAGTGCGAGGAGGGTTTCGGGAGATAAGACAGATCAGGCATTATAAAAGCACTTATTGGTTTTCTAAGAAAAATAAAAATTCAACGGCTGTCAGAGAACGTCTGCTCCTGCACACACTAAGCTACACTCAACACCAGCCGAACAAGACTGAAGCGTCTGCATATAATCACGCACATGCACATGATGATACTAATAACTAGAACCAGTCCGATTCTGTAGATGCTTTTTTTTTTCCTTTACATCTTCTGTGCTGAAATTTGTGGGATTTAGGGGAAGTAGATTTAAACATGGTATTAATGTGGTAAATGGAGTAATACACTGTTATGGGTAGCTGAAAACATAATGAAATTAGTCAAATTATTAAATAAACAAACATGGTCAAACTTTGGGAACACTGGTCATTCCAATCTTGTTGAAATCTGTAGGGAATCTGTAAGTGCTGTGCAAGTTGAATGCATGTGGGCCTGCTAATGACTCAAAAATAACAACAAATATTGTATAGGAACCACATGAAAAAAACAATATTGTATACTAAATAGCATAGTTTTTTCTTTTTTTGCCTAAACAATGGAAAATGCTTTCCAGATCTAACACAATTTTGAAGGGAAAGCCCTTTTTTGTATTATATAATGATACACCATTTTTCAAAGGTTTGGGGTCAAGACTTAAAAGTAAATATTATTCAGCAAGAAAGCAATAAATTAATCAAAAGTGACAGTTAAGACATTCATAAATGTTATTAAAGATTTTTCTTTCAAATAAATTATGTTCTTTTGAACTTTCCATTCATCAAGGAATCTTGAAAAAATATAACACTTTTTTTCTACACAAATTTTAAGCTGCAAAACTGTTTTCAACATTGGCAATAATTTAAAAAATTCACTTTATGAAAATAAGAAGAAAGAACGAAATGAATTACATTCATTCAATAATTTGTAAAATAGATGAATATTTTAAAATATAAAAATATTGGTCACACTTTATTTTAAGGTCCAATTCTCGCTATTAACAAACCATTAACTACGACTTTTGCCTCAAACTTCTAATTTGCTGCTTATTAATAGTTAGTAAGGTAGTTGTTAAGTGTAGGTATTGGGTAGGATTAGGGATGTAGAATATGGTCATGCAGAATAGGTGCTTTATAAGTACTAATAAACAGACAATATGTTAATAATAGGCATGCTAATAAGCTACTATTTAATAGTGAGAATTGGTCCCTATTAGGGGTCGACCGATTATCGGCCTGGCCGATTATCGGCGCCGATATTAAGCATTTTTATGATTATCGGTATCGGTCCATTTCAAAACCGATTCGCCGATAAAATAACTTTAATTTTGAAACGAGCCATCTGATGCAGCCTGTCAGAACTCACCACTCTGTGGCCTAAAGCAGTCTCCGCCCACCACTCACCTGATTTGTTGGGAGTCATGAGTCCGACCAATTAATGCGGAATTCACTCTCACTCCGAAAGCGCTTGCTAACTGGAGCTGCTTCAGTGATCACGCATCAGTTGTCTCTCAAAGGTAAGGCAGCAGCAGACGTTGCTTAAGTTGCAATGGATCCCAATCCACTAACGTTTGTCAGAGCCCTTGTTATTCTTAATTTTGACATTAATTTTCATTTTTACACCAGACATATATATCGGTTCAAAATATCGGTTATCGGTCTACTTCATCTGTAATAATCGGTATCGGCATCGGCCTTGAAAAACACATATCGGTCGACCCCTAGTCCCTATACTAAAGTGTTACCAAAATATTGTATATTACTGTATTTTATATTATTGTGTATTTTGATCAAATGAATGCAGGCTTGATAAGCATAAAAGCCTTCTTTCAAAACATTAAAAAATCTTCCCACCCCAAACTTTTGAACAGTAATGTAAATGCACAGCTTTCAAGTTTAATAATCGATCAATCAAACATCATGTCTCAAACATTTGACTTCACTAATCTGGCAACCTGTTGTAAAACCAGTGATTAGTCACACCTCAAAATATTTGATCAATCCAGTAACAGACTGACCAGACAATAGTTTTTTTCAGCATTGTTGGTGGGATATAACGTGTGGTGTTTTTGTCTGTTAGCTGACTGTGTATAACTGGTCTTGTGCGGACCCGTAAGGCTCTGTGTGTGTACTTTAAAAAAATATCCCAAATATTCCATCCCTGGCCCTGCCACCACAAAAAAAAATCCCACACACAAACCCACCGGTCTCCCTGCCTGCCCAAAGAATCTGTAAAAGCTTCTGTATGCAGGTACAAAGCCAGCGACCACTCTCTCTCTCTCTCTCCCTGTAGGTAGAAAACACAAACACACACTCACAAACACAAGCACACAGCCAGCAAGTGGCATATCAGCGCATGGAATTCTCTAAAGGGGTTTAAGTATTTACCCTCCCCACTATCACGGCCTGCTAAAATTCAGCTTACCCTGTTCAATAAGGACTTCAAAGGGAATCATAAATGCCTTTTGCCCGCAAATTCTACTGTACAGTGTTTTTCTCCTCGCCCCCCTTTTCCTGCTTCTTTTCTTCCCATTTTCCCCCCATTCTCCAGTAAAAACCGTCCCTTACTGTGAAATTTATTAGGAGCCT